TCCACGTGTTCTAATGATGGTAGTGTATATGAGTTTTTTTTATAAAATATAGGAAATTTAAGTGTTGCAGTAGTCGTAATATATTATTTATTATTTATTAAAGAAATCAATTTTTAAAAAAAATACGCCTTTTAAGAACCCATGAGTCTAAAAAAATGAAAGAAAAAAGTCTAATATTCTAGACATATGCCTAAAATAGTTCTTGACGACGTAAGTTCTTATGAAATCGGCAATATTTCGAATTCGAAGTAAATTTGTAGAACTGGCAGACGTAAAATTTAACCCACTGATAGTTTTCAGTACACTCTTTTGTTCAATTAATGTCAACTTGAGTAAATCAGCTCTTAAAAGGCTTTGGACTAGAACTTTGATTAAAAATAAGACTTGAGAGATTTTCCTTTTTCTTTTTTTAAAAAAAGAGTTCTAATTTTCGAACCTTAGCGTATAAGTCTTCAAGTGCAGTTATGGTCTCTCTATCAAGTTTTTCTTCAACTTCTTCCACCAATATGTGATCAATACGCGATAGTTCAATATCCTCAGGTTCTACCTCAAGGCATAACCTTTCTTTCGCAAGAGCATAATCAATTAATACTTGTAGTTGAAAGCTCCTGACAACGTTTCAAATTATAAAATCTGCAAATTCTCGGAAGACATATAAAGTTATAATTGAACTAACTATTGAACCCTTGGAGAAAAACTAGTAAAATGTATATGTATTTATATAAAATGTATAAAAATATATATTCTCGATGATAATTTAATTATTAAAAACTTTCTTCGCCTTGACTTATTCGAAGAAAGAATCAAGAGTTTTCTGCACAAATACAGTCAAAAATATGAGTTAACATTTTTCCAATCCTTATAAAAAAAAAACGTTCAAGAATGAATTCTTACAATTTTCCCAATGGCTATTTATACCTAATTTTTTAAGATTTATTTCGAACCAATCTTTTGCTGGACCGGATACAAAAAACAAAAACAAAATTCAAAGCTTGAATTTTACTACTATCGAAATTTATCTGAAAACGACTACACTCTTCTTCAAATATACTTCACAATTCTTCGGAATCTTTTTTTTTCAAATTTGTCTAACACAATTTTTTTTCGATTTGGTGTAGTTTGATTTCATCTTGTTTTAGATATCACTGGTTTTCTGATTGTCTAATTCTTTAGACTGTTAGAGTTACCTAATTTTATTTCATTTGTTTAAAGTATTATTGATTTTGTTTGTGTCCGGAACTACTCGTATATAAGTTATTGCTTTAATGTTGCCCAAATACATGGCCAAGAGTAGATACAGCAAATGTTGGTATTAAGTATTGCGCAGTCAGTCTTGGTCTTGAAGCAATAGTTACACAATTACCTAGAAGCCTATTTCTATCTATTAAACAGCTTGATTTAGATACTAGGACAACGAAACAGAGTAGGTACATTTTGAGCTTCTTTCCAGTTACCCGGATGCAACTCTATTGCATCGTTGTAGATTCAATCTATCCGTCTACTTTTGTATATGGGTAAGATGGATCGCACCAAGCTACATGCCCTGCCCATCCTAACCTCCTTGCCTTGATATCACGATATATTAAGTGACCAGTTTCTGTAATCAGCTCTCCTCGATGCAATAGTTCTCTGATACCAGATCGCTCCGATTCTTCCACTTGATTCTATATTTTATGAATTCGCTTCAATCTCTGACATAATTTAATTCTAATCAGAGTGTTGTCGGTATCAGTCTGTTCCACGATAGGTTCTCATATCTTGTATTGAGCTCTGATGTCTCTTGTCGACCAGCACATGATAAATTTGTTTTTCGCTCATTTGGGGCTTATAAACAGATGTACTTATTGATGTCCATTTGTAGGAACCTTGTAACAATCACTAAATCTTTAACTGCTGTCAGACTGACACATCTTACTTCTTTGGGGGCGGGGTGACCGAATGGGCTGACGCGTATGCAGAACACCGCGAGTTGCCCGGCAACCACCTAATCCGAAGTCAAGAGATTAAAAAAAGTAAGTAAAAAGAGTTCGCGTCCCGGGGCCGGATGAGATTTTAAATTCCCCGTCCTCACCCTCCGACCCGGAAAAATAATGTATAGCTCAAAAGCCAAGGTAGGAAAGAAGAAGGGGGGGAAAAATCTCACTTCATTGTCATTGCTATTTTCGAGAAGGCTTTGCCCTACGACAATGGCCTGAATTCGAGTTCTCGTCCGATCTTGGCATTGAAGTCACCTATGAATAGTGTTGTCCGAATGTGAGATCGGGACGAGCTTGGTCTTGCACGACGAACTCAGTTTTTAAGATGGTCTTGGTCTTGCGCAAGAGTCTCGCAACAGACTTGCAGTTACTTATTAGCTTATTGCTATATATATATATATATATATATATATATATATATATATATATATATATATATATTACTGCATGCCTAACTAAGCCCAAATTTAAAATTAGAAGAGTTAAATGCAAAAGTATATTGATTATACCAATCCTTTGCTCATAATAACTAAAATTATCAAGTATTAGGTAACTAGTTTGCCTTACTTTTTATTAAAAAAATCGATTTTGTTTTACCAGTATTGGTCTTGCACTACCTATGAGTAAATTTTTGTCAAGAGTTGGTCCCCATATTTTCGCAGGTCAGCTGTCTGTGTTGGTGGCAGGCGCCGCATACTCCTGGTTCGAACCAATCACAATCCGCCTCACAGAGGACTCTCACCTGGACCTCAGCAAGGAAAACGTTTCCTGGATCATCGCCATTCTGGAGGTCGGGAATTTCATCAGTCCTCTGGTGTCGGGAGAACTGACTAACAGGTGACTAGAAATAGTGATATCAGTGATTGTACACTAAGACTAACTTATAACTTCAAGCTTTTTTGGCATGGTACAAGATAGCTAATCAGCTGTTTTTCCCCTACTACCTAAATCAATGGAGAAAAACGTTTTTCGGATTAAAAAAAAAAATCGAATGTTGAAACTCTAATGACTGTTTCAAATTAAATTAACTAGACTTTTCCAAACACAATTAATCATTAGATTATGAAATGAAAAAAAAAGAAACGTATGAAAATTGAAAGAGGTTGCTAGAATGTTTACTTAGGAATAAGTTGAAAAAGTTATAAATTTGTGAATGATAAATAAATATTATTGTGACGATTGCATGCTTCTGTGTTTTGGTTGGTTTTTGCTTTAGGACTAATTGATTAATAACTTATAAAACAAAAAAGAAATATCTTTCATGATAAAATGTCATTATTCGCTAAATATAAGTTTTACACATTAATAAGCGTTGTATGGGCAATGTCTCAAAATTACTAGAGTACTATGAAACAAGCATCAGTAGGTGAATTCCTAAATTAAGGGTTTCAGAAAGAATATTAGGTAAACCCAGGATCAGGTGAACCATTCAAGAATGTAAAAAGACATGTTGGTTTTAAAGGACCAGTAAACGTGAATTTGCCTAGAAAATATTTCAGTCGGACAACAGGACAAAGCCAATATAACTTTGCTTACGAAATAGAGATGTAACCGTGCCTGGGAACGCATGCTGGTTTTCTCTATTCTCTGCTGTTGCCTTTCATCTTCTTATATCAATCAGCAGCCATGCAGTCATTCCGAAGGAGCCTTGGACGCCTGACCCACCAGGTACCTTAAATTCTTTTTTTTAGGATCCTGGAAGGTATCTCGTTCGAATCCATTCTTCAACGTGTCTAGCCTAGACAAGTATTGATGTTTCTGTGAGCGTGCATTTTATCCTTATATTCTTTATTTGATCCGTTCTCCTTTTCCAGTTAAGTTGCTATAAATATTCTACCATATTGGACTAAGCACACAAACCTGAGGAGGACATGCTTTGGGCTTTAGTATTAGTCCAACATTCTGATCTGTATGTAAAAAACTGGTGGAATGATTTTGTATAAATCCTTCCATCGACCCATTCATTGGACTATACAACACTACTTAAATGTTTTCGGAGTGAGAAGTAGGATCGATTTACTAAGAGGATTCGTATTTTAATTTCTTCGTCTATGTTGTTCTCGCGATTCACTTGTGATCTGAAATATGTAAAAGACTGTACTCTTTCAAACCTATGCTGCCATATTGAGATGTGACTATTATCACATTTGTATTGAAATGACTCTTATACAGCGTTCGGAGTTCTTCCTGCAAGATCCAAATCATCTGTGAATCCTAAATTCTGTCTTGTTAAGAAGATCCTTGACATTGAATGGCAGTTTTTCTAATGGCTTATTACTCTTGATAACTTCCAATTCACTATTATAAAGCATAAATTGTCCTCCATTAATCATTATTCCATCTCAAGGGATACGCATATTACCCAGTATTACACTAAGTTGAGGTGGCTCTACCCATCCTATCGCCATCAGTACTTCCTAGCCACCTTTCTGTACCAAATTATTAGAACTCATCGATCCTCCCATATTTTTCACAGCTTACAATTCAAATACTCCATCCAATCCATCACACTCCATCCTCTATCCTCCTCTTCACCGAACTGCTGCGATTGACAAATCCTTTGCAATACAAGCCGCCTCCTTCTGGAATTCCATCCCTGCTGATATTCGACACGCTCAATCAGTTTCCTCTTTCAGACCTCTCCACTTTAAGCACCTACTCCTTTCTCAATCCGACTGATTGTGAAATATACTTAAGAGAAATATCTAAGCACCGCCAGAGACTACCTCAATTTATTAAGGTTATTTTAGTTTCTCATATATATGTAAAATTTACTTGTTATTTTCTATCTATTTTCAGTATTTTTATCTTAAGTCAACTCTTATTGTATTCATTATTACTCTATTATTATAACCTTATTTTTTATTCCAGGGTCGGACGTAAATTATTGATCATTAGCGTCGGCCCGCTCTGCCTGGTTGGATGGGTTCTAATCCTCTGCTCCAAGTCGATGGTCTCTTTAATCGTCGCCAGGATATTCCACGGACTCGCGGTGGGGGTGGTCTTCACGATCACGCCGATCTACACGGCAGAGATCGCAAATCCTAAGCATCGTGGAAGGCTGTCAGGAACATTCGAGGTAAGCTGGTACCTAGGCTCTTTGTACTCATTCTGCTCTGGTCCTTATCTCAGCTACGATATGTTCGCCTACGCTTGCCTTCCACTTCCAATAATATTTACAATAATATGGATGTTCGTGCCTGAAACTCCTTACTACTTATTGATGATAAAGCGAGAGGAAGAAGCAAAGGAGATTCTCAAGTACTTTAGAGACGGAGACGTCGAAGAAGAACTCGAGAGCATGAAGAAAGCAGTAAGAGAACAGTTGTCAACAGAAGGATCCTGGAAGAAACTCTTCTGCGATAAGGTTGAGAGAAAAGCATTCGTTATAGTCCAAATCGTCTCCATTACCAAATACCTGACTGGGATGACAGTGATCGAAAACTACGCATTGGAGACATTTTCGAAAAGCGGAGGATCCTTTCTCCCTCCAGAAATCATGTCTATCCTTCTTCCAGCTCTTCTTACCTTAATCGGCTTCATTGCAGCCTTCATGTCCGACTCGATCGGTCGTAAGCCATTGCTTTTGTTATCCTGTTTCGGATGTTTCGTGGCTCACCTCCTCAACGGTGGATATTCTTTTATCCATGAGAAGACCAACATCGATACTTCTAACTACGTTTTGATCCTCTACATCGGCCTTACGATGTATTGCGTCCTCTCAAGCATTGGTGTTGGAATAATCTTGCAAACTCTGCAGTCAGAGATGTTTGGTGCTAGTACTAGAGGTATTGCAGCCGGAGTCACTGAGGGTTTCTCATCGTTTATATCATTAGTGGTAATCAAACTATATACTACAATAAACGAGGCCTATGGATTATATCTTAACTTTTTTATTTACAGTTTGGTAGGTCTAGTTGGAGGAATTCTTCTGTCTTGTCTTGCATATGAAACGGCGGGGAAGACGATAGGTCAAATAGAAGATAGAGAAAAGCAAAAAGCTGTTCCTTGAATACATGTGAGCAGTTACGAATGTCCAAACAATCTACGAATATATAGTCTACGAAACGCAACGCCACATTTTGTAAGGCGTTAATCACAAAAAATCAAATACCCTATTTTGGAATTATAGTTTCAGCTTTGCAAGCTGACAGAGAGAAGAGAAAGATTTAGTCCCCTCAGAATATCTGTAATGAACAACGATTGTATAGCATTAGAATATAATTAAAAATAAAATCATTTACGTAATTGTCTAACTCTAATATTAAAATAAAGAAAAGAACCTGTAGTACATATATGATCTTGAAGCATACGAATTTAAAGACAAATACATATGAGTGATTTCACGTATTTGTACAGATAAGTAATACAGTACATACATAGATATCTAAAAGATATCAGTAAAATGTAGCTTATGTATGCATGTAAAACTAATTTTTACATATATTCGGAAGATTGATAACTGAGGAGATGGAAAATAAATGGTGTTTAAATAAGGTCAAGGACGAGGATTCCCAAAACGAGGTAGCACGTATGGCAAAGGATATTTTAAAGGAAACAATTCTATCTCAGAAGAAATAAACAGATTTGAGGGTTGGAATCTCGTGTTGAACGAATGAATGAACGGAGGAACAAGGAGAAAAGAAACCAAGAAGACAAGAAGGTTTTTTTATTGTAAAGGTTTGAAAAAGGAATACACCTAGGAAATATTGGCTTTCAGAAACCTGGATAGAGTTCTTCAACTCAGCATAGCAACTGGAGACGTGGGAGTGCCTTGGAACTCTAAGGATAAATCTAATGAAATAATTCATTAGCCTCTTAAATCTGATCTCAAGCCCACCAGACAGTCCAGGGTATACAAAGCAGCCATAATCAAAGTGAGAGAAAATGAGAGAAGAAACTAGGAGGTGACGGATTTTAAAGGGCATAGAGTCAGGAATCTCTGGAACTGTTTAATGGTACTAAGACAGAAGTCCTAAGGAGTTGAAAACTTTGATGATCTCAGTGTATTCTTACACAGGGCTGCTGGTTTACTTTACCAGGGCCAGTTCCTTAATATAGACAATATCACTTTCCATTTTTCTTCAATTAGTGAGTAATTTCAACAGTGAATAATTTTATGTATAAGAAAATTGTAAAATAAATTAATAAGTTTTCAAAATATTATGTTTCATTTCATAACTCAAACAGCATGTCAGTTAATTATCAGAACAAACTGTCATTTATTATTAGAATCTAACAGTTAAATGGTCAATACAATGATTTAAAAGGCTTGGAAAATGATTGAGACCAGCAGTGCAGAAAACATACTGGTCCTCATAAATTCGAATCAACAATACCAAAATATATCATGAGTTCATCATTTTAGCAAAGATATGTGAGTTCAAAAAAAGGTGTGGAAAACAGTGATGTCCTGTAATAGATTTATTGTTGAGTCCTTAAAATAAAAAAAATCTTCTGGTGTAGGGTCTACTTAGAAAATAAATAGAAAACCAAAAGTCCAAAACGTTTCATCATGTTTGTCAACATATGTTTCCAGAACAGAGTAGCATGGTACAGATTATGACATTGAAATTTTTGAGGGTGGCATTTGTTTAGGATGCTATGAATTTTTGAGAGAACTTTATTTTTATGGAGAACGTTCAACAACGAAATAAGCAATAAATCTTAAGTAAAATCCTGACCATTCTATACTTACTTCCAGTTGCACAATTTTTAAAAAGAGGAAAGCAATGAAATTTCTTGGAATACAGGTTATAAAGGCTCTTGAAAAGGGTAACCCTGTTAATCTATTATTATATGTATTCTTTCTAATGTTCAGCTGAATAATTAGCCAATCAAATATTAATGTAATATGAGAAATTGTGGAAAACATATTAAGTAAATAAAAAAAAAAAAAAAAAATATATATATATATATATATATATATATATAATATATATATATATATATATATATATATATATATATATATATATATATATATTTGTATCTTCTCTATGATTTAGCTATTAAATAAAATAATATAATTTATTTGAAATATAGAAGTATGATTAATTAAATTAAATAAATCCACAAAGGGAATAATATCACTATAAGAAAAAAAAAAATCATGATTAAAAAATACATATTTAATTTTTAAAAATAACCCTTTCATCATTACCTAAGAACAGCATACATACCATGTTCCTTTTGATGGAATATGGAAAATAAACTAAATAACAAATACCCATTCAGACATGGTATCAGGTGATGAAACGAATAATATATTATCTGATAAATCTACTGGTAGAAGAATTATAAAAGATTCTACTGATGGAATATGTAAAAAAAAAATAAATAATAAATAATAATTAATTATATAATAGTAAATTTTTAACAATCTATATGTTAGGCTATAAAAAAAAAAAACTAGATGATTTTTTAAGTATTCATAAATCAGCCTATAATATTAGTAAAGGTCTGTCCGCCGTTTAAGTATATATCTACGTATAAAGATGAAAAATAGTAAGAATATGAAGTCATTTGTGTTGTATACTAAGTTTACCAACGTTTCGATTCAATCATGTTGGCCGTCATCAAGGAAATGGTTGCTGGATAGAGAAGAACTGAGCGAGCGGTACAATTTCTTATCATACCATATCACTTCCTCAGTTCTTGCTAAGCCCCCAATCAGTAATAATTGCCTTGATGATGATCCACATGCTTGGGTCGTCAACAAATTTGTTAAAAAACAAAAATTTGACTATTTTTCATCCTCATCATTTTAACAGCCAACTATATCTCCATCTTTCAACTTAAAATATATTTGTTCAACAAAAGGTATTTAAATAAAAGTTTAATAAGTTCAGGTTCTTTTACCATTGCCAGTCTCTAGTTTATTTTAAAACTTTATTTGAAGAGAATTAAATTAACAGTTAATTAATAACATTAACAATATATGTATTATATAATTTTTGAAATGTCATGCAATTATTAGCAGATCATGCCATACCTTTTGTTAGTTTTTTTTTCTATTTAAAACATAAATGATGAGAACAGTGTTCTTGTTCTTTTGCTTATGTCATCTTCCTCCCAGAATAGGACTCCTCTTTGTCGAACACCATCTCACTCGACAACATCTTAGGATTCATTGTCAGCACCCTCTATATTATCGCAACTCTTTGGTAACTAAAGTTACCCAACCCTATTTAATTTACTATTATCTGAATTTTTTATGGATGGCTATTATTTGTGAATTGTGTTGTAGGATGTATGCCGGTTCCTGTTTTGAATTTAGAACATTTTTTTCGTTTATTGCTATATAAATAGATTCTAAAATTTTTAGCTTCGATTGGTAGTTTGATTTATGAAGTATTTTAATATTATCGAAATCTATTTCACTTCTGTAGTTTTTAGCATGGTTTGATAAAGCATTAACTGTTTTTGAATTAGGTTTAAGGGTAGTTTTGTGGTTATATATTCTGTTTTTATAGGTTGATGTCAGTCCTATATATGATTTGTCGCAATTTTTACAGAGGATATCATAAATTAAATTTCTATTGTTTTGAATAGGTGTTGGGTCCTTTGTCTTTGTCAGTAAGTTTCATATTGTCAGGGTTTGAGGACGAATTTGAAATCGTCTAATTATTTTAAGGTTTTTTATGCTATTATATGCCAGTTTGTTAATATACGTTAAGGATTTGAATTTTATATGGAAACCGATTCAAGTATATTGATATTTTCTGAATTTTGGTTTGGTTCAGCGTCTTTTGTATTATTTAGTGAGCTGGTGTTGAAGAATGGTTTTAGATTGGTTTGGGTTGGGGACCAATACTTATTTAAGTTTTCTGTAAGGCTATTGCGAATCTTTTTATTTGCAATATGTTTTTTAGTTACTGATAGTAATTCATTTTGTTTATTTACTGCCTTATACCATAATTTTGTTATTAATTTATGTGGGTAGAAAGTATTTTTTAGTATATTAAATATGTATATATATATATATATATAGTCTGTAATTTTAATTTCTTTATTAATCGAATTGCTACCTACAGGCAATGGTAAAAACTCCTGAACTTATAAGAACTTAAAAACAAT